CCTGATCAATACAGACATACCTCGAAAATGCCGTGGGTTTGATTTTAAGTCACCGCAAAAAAGTGAATATTGCAATAAAGCAAGTCACACAATTTTTTTGGTTTATCATTGCATAAAATGGTTATGTTTACACTATATTGAAGTCTGTTAATTGCTCCATTGCATTATGTCTAAAAAATGTAGACATTATGATTTGAAAATATTGCTAAAAAATGAGACTTTAGCAAGTGGAAGTTCTTTGCTGGTGGAAGGTCTTGCCATGGAATTGATGGTTGCTTACCGATCGGGGTGGTTGCTGAAGATTGAAGTAGCTGTGGCACCTTCTTAAAATAAGACAATTAGCCGGGCTCGGCGGCTCAGCTTGTAATCCTGCGCCTTTGGGAGGCTGAGGTGAGTGGATTGCCTGAGCCCTCGGGTTCAAGACCCGCCTGGGCAGCGAGACTTCATCTCTACAATAAATCAAAAAATCAGCTGGGCGTGGTAGCGCATGCCTGTAATTCCAGCTACTCGGAAGGCTGAGGCGGAAGGATCGCCGGAACCCAGCAGGTCGAGGCTGCGGTGGCCGGGAGTGGCCACTGCACTCCAGTCTGGGCGACAGAGTGAGACTCCAACTCAGAAAAAAAAAGACAATTATTTTTGCCACATCAATTGCCTCTTCCTTTCACAAAAGGTTTCTCTGTAGCATGTGATGTTGTTTGATAGCATTTTACCCACAGTAGAACTTATTTCAAACTCGGGGTCAACTTCTCAAGCCCTGCCACTGCTTTATCAGCTAAGTTTATGTAATGTTCTAAATATTTGTTGTAATTTCAACTACCTTCACTATCGCAAGAAACCACTTTTTTTATTTATCCGTATGAAGCAAGTCCACATTTGTTATGAATTTATCATATGATGGTGGAAATTCTGTTTGTCTTCAGACTTCACTTCTAATTCTAGTTCTCTTGCTATTTCCACTACGTATGCAGTTACTTCTTCCACTGAAGTCTAGAATCCCTCAAAGTCTCCCATGAGGGTTGGCCTCAACTTCTTTGAAATTCCTATTAATGTTGACATTGTGACCTCCTTTCATGAATCACAAATGTTCTTAAAGTCATTCTAGGTTGGTGAATTCTTCCCCCAAATTTTTATTTTACTTCACACAGATCCATCAGAGGAATAATTATCCATGAGCTATAGTCTTATGAAAGGTATTTCTTAAATAAGACTAGAAATTTGAAATTACTTCTTGATTCATGGGCAGAAGAATGACATGAGAACAGCATTAATTTCCTTGTACATCTCCATCAGAGTTCTTGAGGAACAGGTGCATTGTCAATGAAAAGTAATATTTTTAACTATTTTTTTTCCTGAGCAGTAGTTTTCATCAGTGTGCTTTACACTTTCAGTAAACTATGCTGTTAATAAGTGTGCCGTCATCTGGGTTTTGTTGTTTCATTTATATTACACAAGCAGAATAAATTTAGCATAATTCTTAAGTGCTGTAGAATTTTCACAATGGCAAATGAACATTAGCTTCATCTTAAAGTTATCAGCTACACTAAACCTTAACAAAACTGTAAGCCTGGCCTTTGATACTAGATATTGACTTCTCTCTGGCTATAAAAGTTCTAAATGGCAACTTTTTTTCAATATAAGGCTGTTTTGGCCACGCTGAAAATCTGTTATTTAGTGTAACCACCTTCATCGATGATCTCAGATCTTCTGGATCTCTTCCTATAGCTTCTACATCAGTACTTGCTGCTTCACCTTGTACTTTCATGTTGTGAAGACAGCTATTTTCCATATACTACTTGAGCCAATCTCTGCTAACTTCTAACTTTTCTTCTGCAACTCTCTCATCTCTGTCAGCCTTCATAGCACTGAAGTGAATTAGGCCCTTCTTCTTGTTTAGGCTTTGACTTAAAATGTGGCCAGTTTGATCTTTTATCAAGACCACTAAAAATTTATTCGTCAGGAAATAAGCTGTTTTATTTTTTTGTCATTCGTGTGATCACAGGAGTAGCACTTTTAATTTCTTCTGGAAATATTTCCTTTGCATTCCCAACTCGGGCAACTAGTGCAAGAAGCCTAGCGTTCAAGATATCTTGACTTCTGACATTTCTTCCTTGTTAAGTTTAATTATTTCTTGCTTTTGATTCAAAGTGAGAGAGACTCTTCCTTTCACTGGAACACCTAGAGGTAATTGTAGGGTTATTAACTGGCCTACTTTTAACATTGTTATCTCAGGAAATAAGCAAGCCCAAGGAGAGGGAGAGAGATGAGGGAATAGTTGGTTGATAGTGCAGTGAGAACTCACACAACCTTTATTTGTTTAATTTCCCCTTCTTACTAAGATGCAGTTTGTGGTGTCCCAAAACAATTATAAAAGTTAACGTCAAGGATGTTATAACACATAATAATAGTGAAAAAACTGAAATACAGTGAGAATTGCTAAAATGTGACACAGAGATATGAAGTGAGAACATGCTGTTGGAAAAATGGTGCAGACAGACTTCCTGAAATGCAGGGTTACCACAAATTTTCAATTTGTAAAAAAATAATATTTGTGAAGCATACTTTTTTAAAAAGTGAAATGAAATAAAATGAGGTATGCTTGCATTGTCTTTTGTGCAAAGCCTGCCTCTGTGCTTAGTTCTTTCAGGAACCTTTTTCAAAAAAGTAAGTTTCTGATCCAGCTGATAGTTAATACACTCTTTTAGGTCTTGTCTAGATCACTGCAGTCCAATAAAGAACCAGAGGACTCTCCTTTCACTCAAGTGTTGACTCTAGAATTGATATCAGCTACGTGAATCAGGGTTTATAACACACAAAAATGATCTCTAGAGTACCTAGGAAAATGATATAGATTGATGATGATCAGCCCGTGAACTTTAGAGCCTGTCTGGGTTCAAATTTCATATATATAACTTGTTATTTATATTACCACAAGCAAGTTATTGGATTAAAACATAAAATTACTGATATTCAGTCATTTTAATTACAAAATAGATCATTTGTAACTTAGAATAATAATAATACCTATTTATGGAGTTGTTATGAAGATTCAAAGTGTCTATACAAAGTGCCCAGCCCAGAGTAAGTGTTCCATAAATGTTTGTCATAAATGTTATTAATTATCCTAACTCTTTTAATCTAAAATTACGAAATTATGAAAGCTGCTATTGAAAAAATGTTAATCATCCAACTATATAAATGTTTCTTTAAAAAACATTGGTCTATTTCTACCATGCATTTAGAACGATATTAGGATCAAGAGACAAAATAGTTGAGACAAACATAAAAAATTGCTAGTTTAATAACTGTGCAATCATTTCTGGACACGTACACTGAAGTCCTTAGGAATATCACTCTATCACACCCTTGTACTCTTTTAGCTTCATAAAAGGTTTCTATACAGGCTTATGGCCTTATAAACATATTTAAGTTTTTTTTCCCATTTAACAAAGCAAACCAATACCCTCTACCTTCTTCAGTGATACACTTTCTCCTCCCTTCCCAACCACATTTTAATAGTTGTCATTATTTATTATCTCCACTTCTGTAGGTCCTACTCAGATGATCCAACACTATTCTATAAATACTGTATCTCTGTCATAGCTCTTATCATGTCATAGGATAACTATCTATTTATTGACATGTCTCTCTCTTTCTCTCTGGACTTTAAGATCCTTGAGTCAGGGACTGAGTCATACTGAATTTTGTATTTCTACATATTAGCCCAATGCCTGGAACTTAGTAAGTAGTCACCACAATTTTATTAACTAAATGATGAATGAGATGATTAGTTCAGTACCGTAAGATAAATAACTCTTAAATCTTGTTCTTCAGTTTTATGTTATCAAACTACTCAGATGTAATGACCAATATTTTAAAGAGAATTTTGGCAATGTATTGTTATAGAAAATCATCTGTCCTCTAGTTTTGATTTTGCTATTGACCCACAGTGTGTCTTTAGATAACAAAGTCACTTCTTTACTCTGGAAGCGAGTGGGGGCTCATCTACTAAATAAGGACATTGGCTAGTTTAGATGATCTTCAAACTTTCTTTAAAATTTTAATTTAGAATGATAAACAATTATTCTGTAAAAAGGACAGAAGGGTGGCATTCAAAGTGACTTTAGTCATGAGTGGCTATTCCAATTCCCTCACTTCCCAGCCATGTACCTTGTAGAAACTCAATACATAGATAATGAACTGCCTAGATAAAAATTAGATAGTAAGATATGATTAAGCAAGCCAACTGACCTATCGTGTAGGCCACACTGAATTAATTGAGCTACTTTATTAATTAGTTCATCTAAACAATGATCTAATTCCCTTTTGATGTCTGCCTTGGTCAGAAAATTTATTTTCCTTTAGGAGAATATGTCCCTTTTCTGGTGCTGCTGCATAAGTTATACACTTACATCGATAACCAGAACATTCCAAACCTCTTATGAGGGCCGTTTTAGAGCAAAAGAGATTTTTCATCAATGCTGCTGTAATATTTTTCAGTTGGGGCAAAGCATGCTTCATTTTAAAAAAAAGTTTAGCCTATGACTACATATTCTCCTGCTGTATTGAAGAAACAGTCAGATGATACAAATTACTAAGTCAAAGGAGATAGGTTTTCATTTAGCATTTATTGTCTTTCAACATTCTCAGTCAGAAATTAAGTGAAATAATTTTATTTTCTAGATTACGGACCGAAGAACTTGCTTAAGCTACTTATCTAGACTTTGAAAGACAAGGAAGGGGAATCCTTTTTCTCTCTCCCACTCTGTCCCAGCAAAAAATGTGTTATCTTCTCCCTTCTTCTTTTTCAAGAAATCATGCTCTGAGCCTCTGAGCTGCCATTGCTAGGTTCATCAAAACTTTGGATGCTGGATATAGGTAATGACAAACTTTTTTTTCTTTTAGAAAACAGGAGTCTGAGGCATGTCACGTCGCCGTGCTGAATCTCGAGCAGCTGCTGCAAAGCCTCTGGACAGACCGTCCTATCCTCCTCCTGCTCCGCCATGGCCAAGAGCGCCTGGGACATGGTTACAGTGCTGCGCAAGAAGGGCCCCATGGTCACCCAGGCCAAGTCCAAGCAGGTCATCTTGGCGGCTCAGAGACAAGGGGAAGATGTGGAGACGTCCAAGAAGTGGGATGCAGGCCAGAACAAGCAGCATTCCCTCACCAAGAACACGGCCAAGCTGGACCGGGAGACAGAGGTGCTGCACCATGACAGGGTGCCCGTGGAGGTGGGCAAGGTGATCCAGCAGGGTCGGCAGAGCCAGGGCCTCACGCAGAACGACCTGGCCATGAAAATCAATGAGAAGCCGCAGGTGATTGCAGACTACGAGAGCAGACTGGTCATTCCCAACAACTAGGTTCTGGGCAAGATCGAGAGAGCCATTGGCCTCCACCTCTGGGGAAAGGACATCGGAAAGCCCATCGAGAAGGGACCCAGGGCAAAATGAACACAAAGCCTCGAAATCAGTGCGTTCCAGCTGATCTCGTCTGGCGGGTCCCCTTGACTGTCAACACCAACTTGGACCTCCTAGCGTGGCCAAGTGGAACACGGGGTCCTGCTGTGGGGACCTCTCCCTCAACTCCCACCTACTGTTACAAAAACTAAACAAACACTTGCAGTGAAAAACAAGAAAGAAAGCAGGAGTCATTCTCTATAAAAAGCCTTGCTGCCAGGTGATTTCCTCCCACTTTTACCTCCCCAACACACTCAACTCAGTCTAGCTCCCCACATTGTGAAGGGCACTTTGCTGATTTCTTATTATAAGGAAAATGTGCCCATAGATCTGTAGGAAACCTCTGGCTTCTTTTACCCAGCTCTCTTCTTGAAGAATACAAAAACAAAAAGTGTGGTTAGGACTGCTGAAGGTGGAATGCCATTCAGAACTCCAGAAAAAGAAACCTCTAGTTAAGACTTTTCTCAGGGTTGATTAATAGGCAAGAATATACAGTTTGATAGAAGAAATAAGACCTAATGTTTGATAGGTCAATAGGGTGACTATAGTTTATGATAATCTATTGTATATTTCAAAATAGCCTCAAGAGAATAATTTGAATGCTTTTAGCATAAAAGGACAAACATTTAAGGTGATCAATATCCCAATTACACTTATTTGATATTTACAAATGATATGAATGTGTTAAATTATCATGTGTATCCAAAAGATATGTACATCTTTTACATATCAATAAAAAATAAAGGAAGTGGTGGGTGCACTTAAAGACCAGATTTATTCACCACTATACAATGCAACCATGTAACCAAAAACTATTTGTACACCCTAAAGAAATTGAAATAAGAAGTAAAATAAAATTTAGGAAATAAATGAAAATTTTGAAAGACTTCTCTCAGAATTTCTGTTAGGAGAGAAACCCAAGAGGGGTAGCAAAGATAAGAATAAAGAAATGTAGGTGAGACAGATAGGAGTTTCTATGACTGTGAACCAACAAAGTGACTAGTATGAGCTGAGACTCAAATATTTTAGAGAATGACTTGTTCAAATGAAAAATAGAAAGAAGAGCCTGCTAGATCACAAAAGTTACAGAACCTTTAATAGCCAATTGGGCTGGAGAAGAATGATCATACCCTCACTATGACCACATTCACTTTGTATCTGGTTCTAGGTACTGTATAAAGGGTGATGCTTCAGCATCACAGAGTTGTGTAGCCTACCATTGCAGCCTTCCTCAGCTTGAGGGCTGCCTTCTCTCTGGAGGTACTGCGGTGGCTAAGGGCAAATGATCAGCTAATTTTCTAGTCAGAATCTATTTCTGGTTCCATCTTTCTGCTCAGAAACAATGTGAAAACTTTAGCCAACAAAATTTGCTTAATGTTCCAATCTAACAGGAGCTAGCTTTCTTTAGCTTGTTAGGCAGAAACACCAGCAATGAGCTAATAATTAGTGAGTCAGCCACATCTGATCTTCCATTTCATCTTTGAATTTTCAAACTAGAATGCACTCTGCAGACCTTGGACCTCAGTTTTAATCAGCCTTTTATCTGTTAGATCTCATCTAGCATAACCCTTCATTTTAAAAAGAACATCTGCTAATTTACAAAAGTAAAATAACCACATTTCTAAAAGTTTGAAGAATAGAGAGAAGCCAGAGAAGCAAATAAAAATCCTATCCCCAGGCATAAGCCATTGTTGATCAATCTGTTCTACTTCATTTTATCCTCCCAACCACTTGCATATACTTAAGAAAAATTGTTTTGTGCAGAGGGTTCAGCAAAAATAAATAAATATGCATATTTATTTTCCTTCTTTTCATATTGCTTCTTTATCTTTCATACTGAGGCAGGGTAGTCAGTGTAGGTTAGACATAGACAGATACATTTATTGTAAGTTTTAGAATAGAGGAAGGATTCAGACATTTTTCCTTATCACATCAGATCCGAGCACCCTACAGGCTGGAATGTAGACTCTCAGTCCACTCCACTCCCTCAGCTCATCAAAGGAAAATCTCATCAAGGTGGTTGCTGGAACCAGAATCCAAAGCTATAGAAATGATAATAAGACCACCTTTTAGTTCATAAATTAACATAGTCACAAAGTCTTGCAAGTTAGTCTATCAAGACAAAATGCTTATTCTGGAGAGGCTACTCCTTCACCCATCAGAGGTGGAGAGGGAGCAGGGGATACCTGTAGCCCACTCATTAACATATTAATGACTAAAAGCTATATCAAACTTCTTGTAAAAAGCAAAAGCACAGTTTTTCTTTCAAGAGATCCACCTATGCCAGCTCTGTCATGTCTCTCTTTCTCTCTTTTTTTTCTGTTACTAATAAATTCTGTTCTAAAACTTTGGTGGTCGCTCTGAAATTCTTTTCAATAGTGGGTCAAAGAACCCAGGAGCATTTCACTGCACTCCATTCAGCAATGCAAACTATTATCTTACTAGATAATGTGCAACCTTTTTAATGTCTGAAAAGAAGGAAAAGTGCATCATTCACCATACCACCAAAATGACATGCTTCTTCATGTTCCTTTCCAATAACACCTTTTGCACAGACAGAACCACTTTGACATAATTGCAAGTAGACCTTCAGAACATTTTGTAAGGGGCTATTGTCACCGGAACTTGCAAATATTTTCCACGTTCCTATGTAGTCTTCATAATGACTTCACTCTGTAAAAATTACAGAAGCAATGTAACTACATTTTACAGTATTTTTGAAATTAAAAACATGGATAGAAATCTCTGTTAATCCACATCTCAGAACAAAAATACTTTTAGAAATTTGGAGCATATCCTTCCAGGTTTCTTTTTCCTCTGCATGTCTTCATATACTTTTAATTCTGTTATTGGATCCAATCTTACATTCTACTTTTATGCTTAGTATTACATTTCCCACATATTCACAGATTTCATTGTTATATATTTTTAGGTAAGTAATATGATCATATTGCAGTGAATTTAGAAAACAGAGGGGAAAAAAACCAGATTATTTCTAATCTCCTTACCACTCTTGGCCACCATTAACAATTCACTGTATTTTTCATTAGTATTTAGTTATTTGATTTTTTAAAAGTATGTATTATAACATTTATTTACATTTTAATATAACAGGTTTGGTTTAAAAGTTTGCACAATTATATATATATATATCTCATGAAATTTTGTAGCTTGTATTTTTTTAAGTTTTAAAGTATGTTTATATAATGATGCTATATACAATTTAGCAACTTGCACTCTGCTTAATTCTATATCATCAACACTTGAATCTTTTAAAGTTTTTTAAAATGTTTATATATATAGCCAGGTGTGGTGGCTCAGCCAGTAATCCCTAGCCTTTGGGAGGCTGAAGTGAGTGGATTGTCTGAGCCCGCGGGTTCGAGACCCGCCTGGGCAGGCAAGACCTCATCTCTATAATAAATCAAAAAATTAGCCGGGCATGGTAGCATGCGCCTGTAGTTCCAGCTACTTGGAAGGCTATGGTAGAAGGATTGCTGGAGCCCAGCAGGTCGAGGCTGCGGTGGCCGGGAGCGGCCACTGCACTCCAGTCTGGGTGACAGAGTGAGACTCCAACTCAAAAAAAAAAATGTTTATATAATACAAATAATAAGAACATCTGTGATCTTGTATTCTATTTTTAAAATTATTTTATGTAACAATAGTAATACTATTACATCCAATTTTTCATGCTGCTTTTATTTACCTTATAGATAGGTTGCAACATAATCTTCTCAATGTATTTACTTAATAAACACTAACAATGCTTGCTGTGTGTCAGGCACTAATTTAAGTGTGTTTACATATTAACTCATTTCATCTTCATTTCAACGGTATGAGGTTGAGTTACAGAAGAGGAAACTGAAGCAAAGATGAGTTAAACAATTTGACCAAATTAAATGGCTAGTAGATGTCAGGGGATGGAAGTCAAACCTACACATTCAGTTTTTAAAGCCCGTGTTCTTAATCACCATGCTATGCTGCCTATCTGTCATTCTTTATTATTCTAATGATTTCAAATTATTCCATTTAGTGATTGCATCATTTTTCTTTTGTTCAGCATTGTAGTTATCTTTAATTTGTTACTATTAGAAGTAATAGTCATACTGATATGCACATATACTTTTGAATAGGGTTATTTTCAAGCCCCTCAATTGGGTAGCTAAAAAAAAAGGTCCAGGGAGGGAAAACGTGACCCACTCAAGGGAAGTTACAGAAAAGAGTGTCGAGAAAAATGGTTACTAAGTCAATACAAGTAGATCAAAATGAGGCCTACAGAAGTTGCAATAAAAAATAAGTACTAGAATATCCACAGGGACTGAAAAGGGGAAGAAAAGCAAGGAAAAGTACAGATTTGCAAAGCCAAAGAAACCATCAAGAGAGCAGGAAGACTACTCACAGACTGGGAAAAAGTATTTGCCAACTCCATGTCTGACAAAGATCTAACATCCAGGATCTACAAGGAACTCAAATGGTTGAAAAGAAAAAAGCAAACAGCCCCATCACAAAGTGGGCAAAAGATATGAGTAGACACTTCTCAAAAGAAGACATACGAGCAACCAACAGATACATGAAGAAATGCTCAGCCTCACTAGTCATCAAGGAGATACAAATTAAAACTACACTGAAATACTGCCTAACTTTAGTCAGAACGGCCATCATCAATAACTCAAAAAATAACATGCTGGTAAGGATGTGGTGAAAAGGGAACACTTCTATACTCTTGGTGAGAATGTAAACTAGCATAGCCTCTGTGGAAAACAGCGTGGTGATTCCTAAAAGTTCTAAAAATTGACCTTCCTTATGGCCCCACAATCCCCCTACTGGAAATATACCTGGAAGAACTCAAATCACTCTATAAAAAAGATACCTGCACATGTGTGTTTATCACAGCATTGTTCACAATAGCAAGAACATGGAACCAACGATGCTGCCCATCAAAATAGAACTGGATAAAAAATGTGATACATATGCACGATGCAATATTATGCAACCATAAAGAAGAACAAAATCATGAACTTTGCAACAATCTGGATGGAATTCAAGTCTATGAT